ATTTGTTTGTGTATTTTAATTGATCTGTAAGTATTATTGGATTTACAAATATTTGAAATTTTTAGACATCCGAAAGTTTTCTCTCAGATTTAATCAATCCAAATCCACTAAAATTTACTTTTGAAATAAAATCCATAAGTAAATCCGTAGGATTAAATAACACGTTATTTAAATTAGTATTTATCAATCATGTAACCAAAAACATATTCACCAAAAAAAATATCATAGAACCAAAAACACAAGATTTGAACATGAATTTAAAATCATAGAACCGATTTTGTCTAGATTTCTAAATCCATTAAAATACACAAACCAATAACCCTCACTAAAATTCACTAACCATTTGGGATTTGATCAATTTTACGTTTACAAGTTTAACATACATATATAACCAAATTTTAAGTTTTTTGTAGAGAAATCAGTTATCCCACAACGAAATGATTGTTTAATATACGAGTCATACCAAACTCTGTTTTGTATGAAATATTTTAAGAATGAGTAAAGAATAAATGTATGGATATCTTAGCCAATTAACCCGCGGATTTCATTGCCAAACATGCTCTCTATGTTTTGGAAAATGTAGCAGCTTTACCTTATTTCTAATAAAGGAACTATTTTGACCAAAAAATGAACATTTTTGTTTTATAAAGTAATTTGAAGTGTAAACGCATATTCCAAATGTATCCAAAAGTCTTTTTTGTGTTTGGATTTACGAATTAACTAATGAAAATTTTATACATGGTACTTAAAGTTGTGAGTTTATTTGAAGAAAGTATAGACGAGTCATAGAATCAAACGAAACATAAATCATATCTAGACGAGACTCGTGTACATTACCTGTCAAAATCAAGAAAATCACCAAATGAGTATGAAGTCGATGCGAATTACGCCTTTAGTCATTTTCACTTGTAATTTTTTCTGATTGAATCTTTTACATATGTACACAATCATCTAATTTTTTTATATGCAGATTTAATTTTTCTAAAAATAGAAGAAACAATATAGTCCATAAGAATACCTATAAATCAGTT